CTGCTACAAAGCAGAACTCTGCCAAGAAAACTGAGATGTTAGAGTGAGATCCTCTTTGCTTAAGTTATTGTGAATAGAACCAGGATCTTGTTAGAGGAGGTTGTTTCTTGTTAGAAGAGAATGTTAACTTGCATAGATGTGATTTCTATTTAAACCGCCCATTTTAAAGCCCATGAGGGAAGAAAGAGAAGATAAGGTTCTTTGGCTACCATAACCAAATAGCACAGACTAGGTGGTTTCAATGAGGTAAATTTGTTTTCCTCACAGTTCTGGAAGCTGGAAAGTCCAAAATCAGGGTGTTAACAGGATTGGTTTCTCCTGAAGCCTTTCTCCTTACCTTGCAAATGGCGGTCTTACAGCTCTATTTCACATGGACTTTCAAACTGTATGCTTGCACTGCAGGTGCATATGTGTGTAAATTTCCTTTTATTTTTCATTTCTGGGGATTAAAATCAGGGACTTTACTGATAAATATATTTTGAGACCATCAGCACAGAGTCTCATTAAGTCACTTAAATTTTCCAGGCTGAGCTCAAATTTGTGATTCTTCTGTGTCAACTTTCCAGAGTGCTGGGATCACAATCATGAGCCACCGCACTTGGCTTGAGTTTCCTTTTCCTATAAAGACAGGTTGGATCCCAGACCACCCTAGCCACTTCATTTTAACCCAATCACCTTTTCAAAGACCCTATTTCCATATACAGTCCCATTGAATGGTACTAAGAATTAGGGTTAGTGCTTCAACATGAGTTTGAGAAGGACAAAATTCAGCCCATAACAATGATATACTCCAAGTTTTCAGTTTCAAACCTACTCCAAAGTATGGGCATACTCCTTATTCGTTTCATAATTTTTGTTTAGTGACTCTGTGTGATACCTTTGCTCCAGTGGGGATAGAACTTTTAATATTAGTATCAATATCTATTCTTCCCAGAAATGTACAGTGGGAAAAATGAAGACAAGTCCTCAAAAATGAATTCTAAAAGCACACATTTATTAAGAACAGAAAGCCATTCATTTTTCAGAGCTCATATCTATTTTGGTATTTACAAGAAATATGCTTTTACCTTTGCCATTTTAAATGGCACAAATATTCACACAGAATGTCAGAGTATGATTCTAAAACTGCCAGCCTCCTCTACTTTTTAACCCACTGCTTGGACAATACACCTAAATCACCCTGTGCCAGGACCTCAGGCTGTCAGGAGGGAGGGGAGGGGAGGGGCTGGGCTGTGTTAGTGCTGGAGGAGTACCTGGGAAACCCGGGCATGCAGCTTCTGCAGTTGCTCACCCTCCTGTGCTGCATCTGCCACGCTCCACTTCTCAAGAGTTACACAGAGAGCGAACTCTCAAAGTCTTGCTTTCTTTTCTCACCCACTGACTTGGCCTGGAAATCTATAATAATAATAATAATAACAATAATAATAATAATAATAATGAGAGGGGGTTTGCTATGCCTTTCTCCTCTCAGGCTAAGATACTTCCTTAATTGCACTTTTCCCAACCCTTCCTTGGCCCATTGAATTTTTAGGAGAAGTCATGTCCAGCTCAACCCGAATGAGAGAGTAAAAGAGACAGAGGTTCACTTAGGAGGAGAAAAAGAGAAGGAGGTGAGAACCAGGGAGGTGCAAGAATAGAGGGGGAAGAGGAACAGAGGGGTGAATGAGGTAGGGATTTCTCTGACAAATGAGACCCTGGCTCACAAATGGCTGGAATCCAAAGTGCACTGTACACAGACACATGTCCCTCGGAAAAGGCAAATGTACCATACGGACCTCTCTCACACCCACAAATCTCACAAGGACGGAGAGAGAGGAAAGAGAAGAGAGGAGAGGGGGAGATAGAGCTGGGGAGGCAAGGGGCCAGGGAGGGAGGGAGTCTCTAGATATGTGGCCCTCTAAGAAGGAGAAGGGAGGAAGTGGCTCATCCTTAAACAGTCTGCCCCCTGTGAAGTATTAGTCTGGCTCCTATTAATAACTTTCTCCTGATTTTATCAGATTTCACTCTCTTGGTATTTCTCCAGCACTCTGTACACCTCACATCGCTGTAGGATGTTCGTATTTATCAGATGCCCTTTCCAGTAGAAAAGGAAAATGAGTCGGGTGCTGAGCTAATGACACCATGTAGAATTCTCACTTGATGAAGGAGTGAAAGAAATTGCTCTCAAAATGACAAAACAGAATTCAGCTACACACAACCTAAGCACATAATAAAAACACTTAAATAATTATCTCAGACCCAGGTACATTCAGCTAAAGGGCAACTCTACACCAAAGGGATAATTTTGAGGTGAGCAGGAAGTTTTACAATTGATGCCAACTTGTTTTGTGTGCCAATTACCCATGTGTACTAATACTAACCTCATTCTGGGGAAGGATTTTGTTGTCAGAGTACTTTGACTGCATTATATCATTTGCTTTACAGAGTACTGAAACAAGACAGCATTGTTAGCCCACATTTGAAGATGAAGAATGACAGAAATAACTTGATGAAGTGTGTGTGTGTGTGTGTGTGTGTGTGCGTGCACACGCATGCGTGCACGTGCTGGATAATCAGACATCTGAATTTGTCACAGATAAGGCTTTGTAGATTTTAAAGAACTGTGTAATCTTAATGTGTAATCTTTCTGTTTGTTTCTTCGTTCATATAAAATGGAAAAACATCTCCTACCTCAAATTTTATGTTAAAAAGCTATTTCATAGTTACTTTCTTCCTAATATTTAAAAATCCTACCCCAAGAGAAATTAGATAAACTCATGACCATCATTCAGAACTTCTATTTCTTATTTGGGTGTTCATTCCCATTTATTAACCCACCCTGTACAGATTAATGCTGCTTACATCTGAGTCTGTGATTGACATTTTTCCTAAGTGGTTGCAGCCTGAAAGTCTTAAAGCCTGGGTCTACATAGGGATGGTGATTCTGAGTGAGACACACTGTCTCTCTACATGAGGTTCTCACTAAAGCTGGGAAAACAAACAAGTAAAGAAATATTGTTAATAATAACTGTGGATTCATTAACACCAAAGACCCCTCCGTATGGGGCACCTTGATCATGAGCATAAGTTCACCTTTTATCCATGTTCCTCCAGTGACCAAGGATCTATTTTCTGAGCTTTACCACCTCCCTGTTAAGCAACAATTCTCACAGAAATGGGAAATCCATTCCCAAATTCCTGTTCATAATTGTCTGACAAAACAAAAATGAAAATGGATTTCAAGAGCAAAATTTTTCCTAACATTGATTTCAGAAAAAAATGTCCCATATAGGTCCTAAGGTGAAGGTTAACATGACTACACAGTATCATCATTTACTTTTCAACTGTGGTTTCTGAAACAACAGGGAAATCAGCTACACTTGAAGGCTTCATATCATCAGGCTATAAATGCCAGAGATATAGCCAAAGAAGAGCCAAATTATTTCGATATAAGCCTTTTAAGCTTTCACAGCCTGACATTGCAGTGAGCTATTTAATAGAGAAAGTCAGTTTAGCAGAAAAATTATAGCTATGCATTTGTTTATTATTCTTTCAAAGTAGGATCAAAGTAATTACTTTTAATTAGAGTCTGTCAGTTGGAGTTTTCTAAGCTTGATTGTACATAAATCATACTCATGACATTTATTTGTTCTTTTCATTCTAGATTTTTTAATATTCTTTTTTCTTCCTTGAATCAAAGGAAAACTTAAAACACTCACAACTCAGTCTAGCACAGACACATTTGGTAAAACAGAATCTTTTTTTTTTTGGTACCGGGGATCGAACTCCGGGGATCGAACTCAGGTCCTTGAGCTTGCGCAGCAAGCGGCAAAACCACTGAGCTAAATCCCCGGCCCTGGTAGAAAAAAATCTTTACTGCTGAGTTTTGGTAAGGAATCACTCAATGGTTAGTCTAGATATATAGGAAACTTGTAGTTTCAAATATTCAATATTTTATGGGTGTCAGTTCACATATACTTTCAAACAAAATGAGGACCTTTGGACAGTCAAGGAGTAAGTTGAATGTAGTTAAGAGGTCTTCTACCCCATGCTTTGTGTCTATTGATAAGTTCAGAAAGGCACTTAAAGAACATTAAGGGAGTACAGTTAACAAGACACTCTGTCCATCATCTATGTCTCAAAGTCAGACCTGGATTCTCTGATTAGATCTTAAGCATTAATATTTCATATTATTGTTTGCACTGAGATCTTCAGGTTTAAAATATCACAGCTTATGGTATGTGTGCTTGCTAAGTGAGGAACATATTTCTTCAGAGATGGGATACAAGTTTGCTTTTGTTTGTTTGTTTGTTTTTGGTACCAAGGATTGAACTCGGGACCTTGTGCTTGCGAGGCAGGTGGTGGAACCACTGAGTTAAATCCCCAGCAAGTTTGCTTTTGGACACAACCAAATAATTTAAGAAAAAAAAGCTCTTTGAATCTGCACATGTAATGTGGAAAGTTCTAGAATATGACTGTAGAATCCTAAACCATGAAGCATAGAAAAGATCTTTCCATTCTGAAAAATGTAATAATATGTATATTCCATTTTGATTCCACTCAGCTGTCTGCATAATCCCTTTAGAGTTTGGAATGTCTGCTTCTGAATGGAAAGATCTTCTTTCTAAGGAAGAATAGTCCTACCAGGACACAACTCAAATTGCGTTTGGGTCAAGCACAGTGTAATTTTTGTCCAAATCATAGAATGTTACTCTCCACCATAGTATCACTTATGTTTCATGATACAAAATATTTAAAATACATTCACCATCCGAGAGGTATCATGCAAATCAACATTAAATTGAGAATCTTAAGTCTTGGCATAGAGTGAGATCTATCTATTTATTGCCTGTGACATATGTTGATAAACTTAACTTTCAGCCCTGGTTTTGGGTCTGACCATTTCTGCATTTATCACTTTAGGTCTTTTGTTTAGAATTTATGTTCTTCTTTTTTTACAAAAAGAATAATATGTGAATCATGTGATTAATGCTTCTCATATCTCTCTGTTGCCTCTGCAGGAGGGATTTTTGAAACTGTGGAAAACGAGCCCGTTAATGTTGAAGAATTAGCTTTCAAGTTCGCAGTCACCAGCATTAACAGGAACCGAACCCTGATGCCTAACACCACATTAACCTATGACATCCAGAGAATTAATCTTTTTGATAGTTTTGAAGCCTCGCGGAGAGGTAACTATTTTCCCACTTTTAAAAGCTTCTTTAGATCATGTATCTGCTCCACAAGCCACATTCTTTTTGCTAGGTGCCCCTACTCAAAGTGGGCATTCTGTCCAATGGGGTTGTAGGAGAGATCAATGCAACCTGAACTAACCTATTGGATGCTGTCTAGCCCTGTTTTTTGGGTCTTTCTGATTAGCTTTCCCTCCAGTGCCCTCCACTCCATGATTAACTAGTTCAGCTGTGAATGGAAAATGTCAAGCTTGATCTGTTTTTCCCTCCTGAAGTGGAGATATCACCATGAAATTGTATGGCACAGTGAAATAAAACTTTGTGGAAAGTCACATCCACTGAGCTTGTGGAAATGCCCAGGACAGACATAAGTCACTCCCTGAATTTTAACAGGTTGTGAACTAATACATTTATCTAGCATTTTTTCAACTTGTTTTAGTCCTTTCCACAAAGTCATAGAAATATAAAGATTAAATCTGTAAAAGCAAAGTCTGCATTTGATTCTCCTTTTATTCTTCTGAACAAAGACAATGCCTCAAAAGTGAACTAATTTATAGGTGTGCTGCAAACTTCACTCATAGCAAGATTCATGAGAGTACTATGTAGTAACCAGATAAAGGAGTTTGTGTGACAACAAGGTTTCCCAGCATAGGAGGGGTTCTCTGCCTCACAGAGGAGTGCCGTGCATGGTATGGTTGTGCAAATAAACAATACAGTCAGCACCACGTTCATGTTCATTTCCAAATACCTGAACACTGCTTGTTAACTGAGCTAACCTAGTTAGATCATAGTACGTGTTTTCTCAATACACTGTCTGTGAGCATTACAGTCCTTTATACAAACAAAATACAAAACTTTTCTCAGGATGACACATAAAAAATCAACAGTATAGTGATCTATTTCTATCTCTGGCATGACTTTAATATAAGAAATATTTTCTTTTTTAAGATGGATGAAATTGGGAGTGTCTTGTAGGTCAGAGATGTCTATGAGCAGATAATAAAACATTTATACAGTACTTAAAAAGCCCTCTTCATAGGCATGATTTCTCTGGGTTAGATTCTTGATTCTCTCTCTCTCTCTCTCTCTCTCTCTCACACACACACACACACACACACACACAGGTGAACAAATACTATAGAAGCCCAACCACATTTAGCAATGGCACTTCAACCCACATAAAAATTGAAAGCTTTCTTATGATCCGAAACACCTGCTATACTTTATCCTTGTAAATTAAACACCCCAAAGCTCCTTGAAACTGGTAATTTTCTGGCAAACAGAATTCAAAAGAATTGATTTTCTGTCAAGTCATAGTAGTGTCCCAGAGCCACATAGTACCAGGAATTTCAATCCATCGCTCCTGCTGGATAAAACAACAATTCACACACTCTCGTGGTCTCACTTTATCTGGGTAAATAATGAAAACATATCCAGAAAATAAGCTTCTGAAGACAATGTCAATTTATACCTACAACACAAAATGCAAACAGGCATCCCTGTAATCCGTGTATTACTCAATGCCAAACAGTACAGTATCAGGACATTTTCCTTGGAATAACTGTCAACATTCGCGTCCCCTTAAATAACTGTGATACAGCTATCAAATTTTTATTCCTTATTCTCTCTAAAGTACGTCAGAAATTTTACAGAGCCATATAGTTTTTTGATTTACTTTTGTTTGTAAAATGACATTAGTATATAAAAAGTACCATAGTTTCATTTATAAATTTAGCTGTTATTCGATTCTGATATACAATTTCATCTCTTGGCAGTTCTAAATCCCTTTAAATAGAATTACAATATAAATTTGAAAATGCATTTAAATTTATGTTTAATGCCTACCAGCATAAGATTCATAGGCACTATTTTACATGGCTGTAGAGGATAAAATGCTCCAAACTTTCTGGAGGGGAAATTGGTTAATATATATCATTACAACTTTAAAATATCAAAATGTTTCAATTATAGCTGTTAACTCAACCCTGGAAATCTACACTAAAGAAATAAGTTAACAAGAAAAATTTAAGTAATATAATCTGATTTATCATAACAAAAAGTTAGAAGGAGCTTAAATATTATAAGATTAGTTAAATTAACGGAATATACTAAAAATACACAGATACTAAAAATACACCTTTGAAGAATTTGTAGTAGTTTGGAAGAAAAGCATGCTATTGTGTTCCATAAAGAAAGCAGTGACTCAAAATTATTTTTATATAAATCCTAATTTTCCTAAGTGTTAGTCAGAATTATCTCAAGACGATGGACTAATTACAGAGCTTTTTGGTCTTTCGTGTATTTTAAGTACTATGAATTCACTCAGTGTGCATACCCTCCTAATGATAAAAATTCATTTATACGTAAGTTCTCAAATACTATACACAGGAATTTCATCCTGTTAGGCTACTTATTGGATGATATTCAGGTGGAAAGAGACCTGACTGAGTGGATCCCTGAGCTCTGCAATGAGAGGGGTGGGCCAAATAAATGTCTTCTAAGATCCTTTTAAGCACTAGTACTCCATTATTCAGTAATTAATGAGGCATCAGCACTGCTATGAACATGTTTTAGCAGGATTTCAATAACCTAGGACTCTTACTGTTTGAGGAGGAAGATAATAGCTAAAGTACTTTGTAGTCACCCAGAGGGTCTTTTTCTCTGAATTCTGCAGTCACACTACCATCTTCCTTGCCACCCTGCCATGTGATAGATCTTAATTCACTTGACATTTATTTGACAAAGAGCTTGTTGGTGAGCTCACAGAGTTCTCTTGCAGAACATCACATCAAGCAAGGGATTTAGACTCTGTCTGATTAAAGGTAATGAAGTGAGACCAGTAACTCACTTTTATTTGCAGGGAGTTGGCCCTGTGATGTATTGCTAATCAGACCTACATTTACATCCATCATTATCTTGATATCTCAAGAATATTGGAAATTAGAAGGAGCGAGTGTCCTTAGCATACTGATGGGAGGTGTTAAGACATTTTGCAATAGCTAAATTAAAAGAGGAATGATGAAAGGAAAAATGAAATTCATAGAAGTCTCTCTGTCTCCTCCTTTCCTTCCCCCCCTTTTCTTCCCCTCTTCTCCTGGGCATCCTCAGCCTGTGACCAGTTGGCTCTCGGGGTGGCTGCCCTCTTCGGCCCTTCTCATAGCTCCTCCGTCAGTGCTGTGCAGTCCATTTGCAATGCTCTGGAAGTTCCACACATACAGACGCGCTGGAAGCACCCCTCGGTGGACAATAAGGACTTGTTTTACATCAACCTCTACCCAGATTATGCAGCTATCAGCAGGGCAATCCTGGATCTGGTCCTCTATTACAACTGGAAAACAGTGACCGTGGTGTATGAAGACAGCACAGGTATGGGACTCACACATGGCCTGACCTGGCCGTGTCTGATCTGAACAAAGGAAACCAAAGGGTTTCACAGGCATGAAACTTGTCAGGTACAGTCCATGGAAGTGTTCTTATAGGGAGCAAATGGTACTGGAAAGTAATTTAAGAATGCCATGCAGAACTAATTCAAATTCCTTTTGGTTTGTTGATGCTTTCTGATGCCCCTTTCTTCATCAAATTTACATTTTTATAAAAAAAAAGAAATATCACCTCATTGATATATATTATAATCAATTTACAATATCAAAGATGTAATTCATTTATGCAACTCTAGTAAGACTGTGGCCACAATTGAAATGGTGCCAGAATAAGATACTTACTTGATAAATAGTTATATAAATGTCTAGAAATGTTCCCAAAGTACACAAAGAAGCAACAGTTCAGTTAGGATTAAAGTGGAGCTTTTTATGGGAAAAAGGAATATAGAACCCAGGTCATGAGCCTGGTAAGAAAGTCTATGTTGTTCCATCTGCTTATTTGAGGATGCAAGATGAAAATATGGCTCTTCAGCACCTTCATTAGATCCTTTATCTGCCCACCTCCATTCTTTTATTGGACCCTTTCCCCCCTGTCTTCTGCTTCCACTTCAGGATCTCTTTTGTTTGCTTTACAGTCAGCCAGTGATGGTCCATTGTCCATGTGATAAAGTCTAAACCCTTCTAATTCAGAGCTTTTTATTGCCCAGCCATTTTTATCTTCACTAATCCAGGCACTAGCTTTCTCCTACTGCCTGTATTCTCACATCAGCTAGAATGAAATGGCCATCATTTCCTAAATGTCCCTAAATTCTTTCCAAACCCTCTTTTCTGACGCCAGCCCCTCAGTATGGTCCTCCACACAACTCTTATGCTGGAGGACCCTCTCGTTCACCAACATCACACTCAACTCTTACCCCTTCCCAAACTCTCTGACACCTAGACTGCTCAGTAGCACTTTAGAAATACAAGAATTCCACCACATCTTCTACCTCAATGATCTGTTCACGTGCCTATGAGATTGGCATTTCCTGATAATTGGAATTTTATCTTATTTTTGCTACCTCTTACAGGTCTGGTCGATAGAAAAGAGCTTAGTAAATCCACACATAAAAATTAATATCATTGAATGTCTGAATTTCTTTTTCTGATTGAAATTAACTCATTTCCTTGATCTACACATTTGATAATGAGACTAATAAAATTAACAGCAAAAATTAGTAAAGGAGGGCCAGGGATTTAGCTCAGTGGTTCTGCCGCCTGCTCCGCAAACATAAGACCCCAAGTTTGATCCCCGGTACCAAAAAAAAAAATTAGTAAAGGAAATCACTTTCAGACATTTCAATGCTGTTTTATTTTTCACTGCCCTTTTCACCAAGCATTAGCACTTATTATTCCTCAGAAAATGAATAGCGAGCCTTCTGTATATGGCACTAAACTCTGGTTTTATTTTATACTATCAGATAAAAGTGACTATTATGGCTGAAAATATGCATTTATGTATTTTCTTATGCCTCATCTCATTTTTGAAAGGAGTGAAGGTGGTAGGAGATTGGATATGTAATTCATAAATATTGGATTCAAAATAATCCCATTGAGTGGAATAAGCCACAGGCAGTTGTATCTTTAGAGCTTCACCTGCTTGCTACGAGGGAAGAAAACATCACCAAATGAACTCCTTGAGCATATTCAAAGAGCCTTCAGGTAGAACATTATATTGTAAACATAAGTGTTGCTAGATCTACAAGTTGTCTACCTTTGTCAAATAATTCCATGAGCTAATAAAACCATACTATTTCTCATTACACCAAGCTGTCCATAGTATAATTTCTCACTATTTCTGCATCTCCAGCAAAGCAAAATCATGTAAAAGGAAGGCAAATTATTGTGATATATGGATTTGATTTAAGAAAGAGTTCAAACAAAGGTGTAGGCATTATAGATTTTAAATCGTACTTAGATAAAATATAATTAGTAAGGGTATGACACAAAAGTTAATGTCCTAACCACCCACTGACATTGGATGATTACTCAAAAGTGACAATAACTTCACATAGTGGAAAAACACAACTATAATTTCTATCATCTTTTACCAGAAACTGAAATTACCTTTCTATCCCTGATAAGTTCACCTGAGCTCAAATGTGCAATAAATACTTGTTGAAATTGAAAATCCAAAATGATTTTGTGTGTCACCCATTAAGTTAGAGATGATTCATGTTAAAATGTTTTTGCCCACCACAACATAAAAAATGTAAATGAATAATCAATTTAGCCATTAAATTGGAACCCAGAGAGTAAACAGATCAACTGAGATCAATAAAAGCAGACATCTTATGACTCTGAGTGGGTTTAATACTGCTTAACTCAGGGTTCTCAGTAGCAGTAATTATCAAGCCATAAAAAGCAGGAAACTTAGTAAACCTGAAGGGAAAGAAAGGACTTAGGTGTGCTCAGCACCAGTCCCCAGGACAAAATTAAGTACCCAATAAAGAGTACTTTACTGGGATTTGTTCAGGAGTTTGCTAAATAGCCTGGAGATAGCACAGATGTCATGGGACCAAATGGCCCATTACTCCTGTTGAAATCAATGGGAGCTGTAAGCAGGTCTCTAAGGACAAAATTCAATTCACTCAACACTAGCAGCCAGAATTCTGTCCTCTAGAAGTTAAAATGTAGAAAGACCATAGAGAACTCTTGGGAAGAGTAAAGTTGTGTCTCGCCTCATCTCTTCTGTCTCTTTCCTGCATGGTCTTGCCAGCAGTCACTGATGTGCCTCTGAATCTCCCACTCTGAGGCAACCCAGGGAGACAACGAGAAACTGCTGCCCATTGGACCCCTCTGCTTCATTAGACCCCTGGTGAAGCCTGGCTTCCATCCCTTCACACACACTGAGAAGACCTGAGAAGCTGAGCACCAAATGCAGTGTGGAGGAGACTCAGCATTTTCTGCTTTCTCAAGCCCAATCTCAGCAAAATTAGCCACAGCCATTTTTTGTGTGTGGAACTTTTTTTGTAAAGAGCAAAATAGTACATAGCTAAGGCTATGTCTCTGGCTATGTGGTCTTGTTCACAACTATATCAGTCTTCTCAGGTAGCCAAAAAGTCACTTATAGAAAACATAGAACTTAGTGAACAAAGACTGTTTCAATAGAATTTTATTTACAAAAATATATGCTGAGTTAGATAGACTTGGTCTCAGGACTCTAGTTCTATCCCAGAAATCAGACACACAAGCTTCAATATCACATAGTTTCTCTTATATGAGAAACCCAAAGAATACAGAAAGAGCAAAATAAAAGATAGGTATCAGAAAGTAGGGAGATAGATCTCTCTCAAAGGGGAAGGGGCTCAAGAAATGGAGGGAGGGGAGAAGAGAGGAAAAGGAGAAGAAAAAGGAACTAAGATGTGTTGTGTATGTGTGCCAGTGCCCCACAAGGCATGTACACATCACGTAGTACAAACATGGACTAGTAAACTATGGAGATAAAAAGAAAAGAAATAGCTAAAAAGTAAGACTTGTAATTTTATGAAAACCAGGGTTTATGAAAGCCGTGGGAGGCCTGTTCAGTTTATATTGACAGCTTCTCTTTAGTGTTACCGTCTGGGTTTCCACATTTTTCCCTTCTCCTCAACTTTCCTTCCTGGCTTCCTTAGCAGTCTTTTGTCTCAATCTTTCTGGGTTTTGCCAGGTGACAGCCTGGTTAATTTGACAAACAAATTTTCAGACAGGTGTTGAAGGGGTGGGAAGGTATGATATTCTTTCTCATCCATCATAAGGCCATAGTTGACAACCCTATAACAAAAGGAAAATTAGTAATAGAAAGCATAAAACATTTAGTTAATGGGTTTTATGTGACATGGAAACCTTTCAAATAAAGGCCTAAAGACCCAGAAAACTAACTTTCTTTCTTTCCTTTCTTTCTTTCTTTCTTTCTTTCTTTCTTTCTTTCTTTCTTTCTTTCTTTCTTTTTTCCTTTCCTTTCTTTCTTTCTCTTCTTTCTACCTTTCTTTTTCATTCTTTTCTTCCCTCTCCCCTTTCTCTCTCTCTTCATTTTTTTCTGTAGTGCTGGATAGTGATCCCACATGCTAGACAAGCATTCTACATCTGAGATACATCCCCAGCCCCTAAAACTGTCTATTCCTATGCTTAGGTTAGAGGAGGAATGGAAAGCCATGTAAAATGGTAATAGACTGAGGGGGAAAATCCAACAATGCCTATTTAATTACTCTTGGACTCTCTGTGTGGTGTTCCTCTCTCCTGAGTATGAGACAGGACCCTCTTGGAAGAGGATCTTCAAGGGAGAAGGACAAAGTTGATTTTTCTAAGATTTATGGTTTGTTTGGGGGAGAATGGTTATAGTTTCTAGGATTGCTTTGGGAGAGAAAGAGAGATTAGAGGCAATAGGGAAAAAGAAGGTCAGAAAGACTTTGCTTCTAACACATTTCAATCTTATTCAGTTCAAAATACTCAGTACTATAAGGTACCATACTTTGAGATACCATGCTCTAAGTCCCAAGAGTACTGATGAGTAATAATGACTTTGAAAGTTGCTTCTTACTGTAAATTTATCTTAGTACGTTTTAAACTTGGCTTCTTTGAAAAGCAATGAAAGCATGAACATTGCATTCCAGACAGGATGGGATTTCAAAGTGTTCTGTTATACTTGGTTAGGCAACCACCTACACAGCCAGCATGGACAGCCAGCTCCAAATAAGCAAATGCTGATCCAGATTTCATTGGCAACACACACACACACACACACACACACACACACACACACTCTTCCGCTGCTGCCTGGGTTTTATTTTTGAGTGACTAAGAGAATCCACATTAAAATTTCACTTGTCCCTTAAATTAACTGGGTAAGGTGATATTTTTTGAGCTAGTAAGGAAAACAACCAAACATGCATAGTCTTTGCCTTTGCCTTGGCCTTGGCCTTTGTCCTTTCCTAATACCTAAATTGCTTCTCTCTTCAGTGTGCTTCC